GGGGAACATCAACCCATTGATTTTCATGAAGGATTTGGAGGCCACCCATATTGTCTTGTAGAAGTACAGTAAAGAAGCCACTGTCAGCATGGTCTCCAGTACCCAAAGTCAATTCTGGTTCTGGGCATGCAGGATAGTAATGGCCCAGAACGAAAAGCCCCTCAGCACAATCCATGTCTTTCAGGTGATCTGAGTTAAGGCCAAGGGCCTCTGAGAGCAATTCTAACAAAGTGAACCCCAATCTCAACATGTACTTTGAGTACTCTATCATTATATCTCTGCAAATTGAGCAGACAAATAAGTCACAGCAATTCTTGTTAGGTTTTAATTCTTGACAATCCCGTTTGACAAAACTCCTTTTAGTTGTACTTGTTTTCGCATTTATATTTCAGTGAGGCTATGTGTTTTAGATGCGAATCCAACCCGAATTTTGCCTTACAGAGAAGTTTGTGACGTTAATGGTTTCAAGATTGCCACTTCGCTGATTATGACGGGGATCAAGCTGCCCGGTCAGCTCGTGGGGGTCTAGGGGGCAGCGCCTCTTGGCGGGTCTGGGGCAGTGCCCAGGCGGGGTCGAGGGGCAACCCCCCCGAAGCAAAATGCAAAATTGCATTCGAAGTTGCATGTCCGCCCTTGCTCGCTTGAGTGAAGGAGTTCTCGCTCGAGCGAAGGCTGCGTCTGGCAAAAAACCTAAGAATGATGAATGTACACTCGAGCAAAGGTTGTTTGGCTCGAGCGAAGCCACTTATGGAAAACACGCGTTTTTTGTTCCTCGCTCGAGCAAGATAGCCTTCGCTCAAGCGAGCTTCGCAGTCCCAGATTTCTATAAGTACGTGTTTTTGTCAGATTTTAGGATTATTGCTAAGGTTTATATCTGGGGATATTTTGCTAGTTTTCTTTGATGTTTAATTGAGTATTCAACTCATGGGTTAAGAAGAATACATCAAAGGTTCGTTTGTTCATTCTATACAAAAGAGAGAGTTATTCTTCGGTAGATTCTGAAGAATTTGAACCTAAAGCTTTGGTGGATTCTGGAGTGGCTCATCGTCAAGACAATTCCAAGGTGAAAACAGGGCTGGAAGAGACACATAGAGGTTGGTTCAATTTGGGCATGGATTCATTAGGTAATTGAGAGCACACCAGTGTAATTCCTTTATGTCTTTTTAGTGGATTGTTTTGTGACTTTTACAGCTTTTGCCCGTGATTTTTTATCACAATTGGAAGTGTCCAATTGTGGTTTTTCCACGTAAAATCGTTGTATCGATTTGTCTTGATTGTTTGATTGGGATTGTTGTTTACTGCTTAAAATTGATATATAATCACAAATCAACATCTAGGGGGTTTCTAATTTTTTCAATTCTAACAGAGTGAACCCCAAATATTTCAGCTCATCTAGTATTATTAGGAAAAATAAAATTTTACCAACAAAAAAATAAAAAATAAAAAATCAATTGAAGTGGTGAGTTATTAATAAGTAATGGATGGGTATTTTTCAAATGCATGGCTTGTTTGGAAATAAGGATTAGCAAGAATAAATTCCTGGAAACACATTCAGAATAGTCACTGACAATTGGCAGTTGTGTTCGTCTTGGAAAATCTCTACAAAAATAGTGAAGAAATATTTGGATAATATGTTTTACTGCAATTAAGTTTTAGTTAGTCTGTCTATGGTTGCAGAAAGAAGTCTATGTTAGAAGCAGGTTGTGCTCCTTTAGAGGTAGGTTGGTTAATTTTCTAATGTTTATTTCTGGTTGTTTTATTCTATATTTTAGTCTATTTTGTAGTTTAGTTATTTTTTAATTTAGTTTATTTTATAGCTTCATTAATTTAATTTACTGACATTTTACTTCACTTATTTAATTAATTTCGTTTTTACAAAAAAAAAAAAGAAAAAGTGAAGTGCGTATATGTTACTCTCTGCCTACCTGGATGTGCACCTACAATTCTGGTAATTTTCTCTCATTTCTCTTTACTTTTCCATTGAGGACAATGTCATATTCAAGTTGGGGGATGAGGGTTATATTTTATTTTGTGCATTCCTATTTGGCTCATAATTCATGCTTATACCTGTTTCACTTGACTGCATTACTTCACCTGATGTGACTTTTTGCTAGTATGGTGATGATATTTGCCTATGTTATTTGGAGATCATAGTAGACTTGTATGAAAAGGATTTATTGGGTAGATACTTGCATGCCATGTTTGCACGAGGAAAGTTGTCTATGTTTGCGGTATTAGTACACTTGTCATGAATATGCCTTAATTCACATGAGCACACTATCATAGCAGTGATCTTTTTATTATAATCCCTGGTGTACATCATTGATAATAGCTAGAGTTGCAGAAAAGAATAAATGAGGAGCCAAGATTCTTAAAAAAAAAAAAAAAAAAAAAAACACTTGACTAGTTTGGGTCCGTAGCCTTTTTAACTCGAGTTATTAAGCCCGTAGGGGTGTCTCTACACCTAGTGCCCTAAAACCGTCTGGTTTGGGAGTCATTGGCCCAAAACTTGCTACAAGGGTTAATTAGAAAGCTTAAGAGACTTGGACATTGCACAGTTAAGGAAAAATAAGAAGAATGATTTGTTCGGATTCGTAACCTTTTCAACTCGAGTTATTAAGCCCGTAGGGGTGTCTCTACACCTAGTGCCCTAAAACCGTCTGGTTTGGGAGTCATTAGCCCAATGCTTGTTATATTGGTTGATTAGAAAGCTTAATGGATCAGGACATTGCAAAAAAAAAAAAAAAAAAAAACTTTTGAAAATCTTGGCTGCAACAGGTTAGTTTTTCTATATATGAAGGGTGTTATTATGAGTTACATTGGGCTATTATAGTGGATAGTAAACTAATATGGAGATTGCACTTTACACCGAGGGTACTCATGACTTGTCTACTAGCATGCACAAATATGGTGAACTTTACTTTTGTATTAACTGAATTGTGATTTTGACTCAATAGGTTCCTTCATGCTTGTCCACTGTATCTTTAATGACTCATGATGTCTAAATATCACACTGTAATGACACATAAGTTGATTGTTAGGTGGAGTAATGTGGTCATTTGTTGTTGAGTATATATGAATATGTTAATATTTGTGGGTATCATTTCTGGAAATCCTCACGAGACTTTACTCGTCCACTTGGGGTAACTTTGTGGTTTAAAGGCTTGTTGCATATGCTAAATGCAACTGTTTTTCCACGAAAGAGGAAATAGATAGATTTTGTTTTATTTTATTTTATTTTACTTGCTTGAGGACTAGCAAGTAGTAAGTTGGGGGATGTGATTAAGGCCGAAATGTACGTCATTGAGGCCGTTAATTAAAATCTCTTAACTTCACTTGCTGGTCAAACTGTATATTTTATGTGTGTTGAGTGTCAATCAGGTTGTACATCGTCGGAGCATAAACTGAGCAAAAAGACAGAATTTGGGCAAAGTTGACTTTCCCGCACGTGCGTTGACTTTTTCCGCACGTGCGTTGATTTTTTCTGGTAAAGTCAAACCGACGTTTTAAACCTGTTTGGACGAGATTGGAAGTATAAAAGGGCAAGTAAAAAGCTGGATTAGAGTTCGGAAGTTTTTTTGACCTAAAGGGAGAGGCTAGGGTTTGGAAAGGAAGAGAAACAAAAGCTCCAAGATGTCTCCCATGGTGGTTTCTTCTCCTTCTACCTCCTTCCACTGCTCCATGAGTGACTAGTCTCCTTTTCTAGGGTTTTGATGAAACCCTAGACATGTAATTATGTAGTTTTCTTTTTTGATTTTATATTATGAAAAGGTTTGAACCATTGTGTGGTGTTTTAGAAATTCTTTATATATAATTTTCATTATCTTTTCAAATATTTGACTTTTTGTGATTGTTGAATATTATCCATACATGAATTTTCTATTCATTCCCATTCAAGGTATGGGACGAACCATGCTACGAGGAACGAGTCGTATCACTACCCTAGTTTAGAGTGAACGATTCGTATTACTTAAGATGGTTCGTGCTCGTACATTGAATGTGATGATCTTCTTGTTAAATACTTTGAACTTGTAGTTGTGAAGCATTAATCTGTTCAAACCATAGCATAATTAATTTCAATTGGAAACCCTAATTATGTGGTTAGTGGTGGATTCTCTACCCTAGGATTTTTCCCCAATTCAGTAAACCTAAATTCAATTATTCTTGATAATTTAATTCATTAGTTTAATTTATTCGTTATTAAATTAAGTTATAAACAACCAATCTTTTTATCAAAATTAATTTAGGAATTTGACAATTAAATTAGTTTAATTTGACAATAGTCCCTGTGGATCGATACCTGGACTTGCCATTATTCTGATTGAATTTGATGTAGTTTAGTATTTAATTTTGGTGTGTTCAACGACCCATCAATTAGATCCTATTAGAAACTCCGTGATCAATAAAATAACAACAATCATGTATTTATAGTAGTTATTTTGGTATAAAATGCTATTAAAAGTCGTATTATGTCATTTTCACTAAAAAGATGGAGAAAAAATAAGACAAAAATATGTCAGATACAATGGTTTTAAGAATTGCATGAATCGTAAAAAGTGAATCGAATCGCAAATCGATTGTGAATCGTGCGATTCACTAGAAATTCACTTCCAAAATAGATTCACCCATAGATTCTAATTGATTTTGCAAAAATTGCAAATCAAATTGTGAATCGAATCGCGAATCATAAGATTCTGACAACAGAGAATATAAGTCAATTTTTTTTTTCTTCACTTTTTCCTTCTCTTTTTTTCCTTCCCTTTCCCTTTTCCTCCACAAATCTCCACCTCAAATCGTTGATCCAAACACTGCAGAAAGGGGACAGATTATAACAAATATGATATTCGATTCATTATTGTAAACATAACTATGTGTTATGATTATGAGCTTGCCAATACCTCACGTTTTCCTCCATGTTATGGTAAATAAATGACAGATGCGAGAAAAATAATTAAATCGATGAATAGAGAGAGAAAAGAGGAAAATCACGAATACATCACCTGTAAGAGATCTCCAATATTTACAACTAAAGCTCCAGGAACAGGAGGAACATTGACCAACTGGTTTTGATGAAGTACTTGGAGTCCCCCAATATCATCTTGAAGTAAGATAGTGAGAAAATCAGGATCAGAATGTTTGGATGTTCCCATAGTCAGTTCAGGCTCTGGGCATGCCGGGTAATAGTTAGTCAGGATTGCATGCCCCTTTGCACAATCCAAGCCAATAAGGTGATCAGATTTGAGCCCAAGTGCCTCCGATAATAATTCAAACAAAGTAGTCCCCAATTGCTTTATTTGCTTTGAATACTCCATTGTTAAATCTCTACATGCCAACAACATACTATATTATGAAGCCTTAGTTCGAATAAATATATTTCTAACTTCAGAATGAGTATATCCTAAAAACAGAAGAAAGATTACAAATTTTCTTTCCATGTACTTCACTATTCCAAATCTAGCCACACCATATTCAACAGCTCTACATTTGCATCAGTTTTTTGTAAATTATATAAGCATTATATAGAACATGGTTTAGAAATTCGCCAACTTTAGCTAATAATTCAGATTAACTTTGATTTGCATCCGTGCCCATATCTGAGTTGTGAAAGAATTTAAATTCTGTTCAGTCTATCAACCGGAATTTGGGCAAAAAAAAACAGAGAAATTTAGGATAAGTCAGACCAAATTTGGGGAGAAAAAAGAGGAAGAAACAAGAAAAACTGCGACTATGTAAATTGGGTTAAGAGAAAATACTCAATAGCTAAATTCAATCTTTCTGTTTTTCTTTTGGCCTCAGTTTGTTTAGGATAAAATTGTAGAGAGTGAGGGAAAGATTCAGAATTTGAAAATTGAAAAGAGAAAAAAAAATTTATGAGTTTGTTTAGCTTGAAAGTGGTGGCAAGAAGAAGAAAACCCATATTAACATTGTAGCTAATTTTCAATTTCTGGCTAAAAAAAATATATAAGAAAAATTAAATATGTGAGTTATCCATAACTAAATTTTAACTTTTTTTTTATCTTTTTCTTATAAAACTTTCATTTATTATTATTATTATTATTATTTAACCCAAGGGGTTGTGGCATTGTGGTAAGGCCTTGGGGTTTAAGCCCCAAGATCACAAGTTCAATCCCCCCCTTCGGCCAATCTCCTGGGCGAAGCACTGTTGGTTAGGAGGTTGGATCTCAAGGATGCCTAACCAACCTCAAGGATGCCTAATCAGCTACTTGGTGTGTGGTTAGGAGGTTGGATCTCAAGGATGCCTAATCAGCTACTTGGTGTGGGTTTAATGCTCCCCCGCTGTGCGAGTCCTGACTTAATCGGAGCTTGCTTTGAGAGGTCGGGACAAACTTCCAGGTTATAGTATCTTAATCAAATGCTTGCAAGAAAATCTATTTCTTTTCTTTCTCTTTCACTTTCTACCAAATTTTGGGGACGAAAATTAAAAGGTTTTTTGGGTTTAAAAAATGGGGAAATTGTGGACACCTGGGTATTGACTCCAATCAATATTCTGATTGATTAACAAGAATTGTAGTTAAACAATGAGCATCCAACATACAAATTCAATGATATATAAAACAAACACATACAAATATATATATATATATATGCAGACTTACATCTTTGTGGGTGGATAGAGATGATCTACCTGCAAACCTCAGGCAACTCTTGTGGGTTGAGAGGGTCAGGACCCATAGCACAGAACAAGGTGTCTCTCCAATCAGCGGATCTTGACTGATACAAATCGAAGTTACTCCCAAACTTCACTCTCCTCTCGAGCTCACGCGAGTAAAACCCCATCTTCACCTCCTTGTTCTACTTGTTGAACCCACGCGCCGCCCTCAACATCTCCTCCAACACGCTCCTGGGTAGAAGTGTTCGCGGATCGGTTTTGTGCGGTTTGCGGTTCGGTTTTGACCCCGCATCTATGCGGTTTGGGAAAAAGTTAACCTGCAACCGCGTCGCAGTGTGGTTTGCAGTTTGTGCGGATAGGGTTTGCAAATGTGCGGGTGGCTACTTGCGGTTTGTGGTTTACACTTTTTTCTTTAAAAATTAATTTTTGAGTTTTTTTTTCCCATCAAATTTAGGCATCAGATTCATTTTATATATTTGTGATAACAATTTTCTGATGAGTTTACAAATAAAAATTGAATATCAATGCATTAAATGAAAGTACCCAAAACAAGGAGACCATACACTAGCATTTTTGCCATAAAAAAATATATATCAATGCATTAAAGGTTGTACTCAATTAGAATTGTCAGTTCAGTAATCAATAATCAAACTAGAAATTCCATCGACCACCAAAAGGAAAATTTTATTAGAAAAAAGTGGATGAATTACCAATGAAAATCATATAAGAAACCAAGTTTAGGATTTAATAATTTTACGGCATTAAGAAAGTTGAGAAATACTTAAAAATAAGGCTCCTAGTGTCATAGAGAATATAATGGTGTCCCTGTAAAAGTTACAAAGTTGGTATATAAAAAATAATAATAATAATAATTAAAGTGCGGGTGATTTTTGCGGGTTGCGGGTTTAAACCGCAACCTGTCCGCAACCCGTAAATTTGTCATATTTCAAACTGCATCCGCCCGTATTATGTTTGCGAAACCGTCCATTTATATGCGGGTTGGGCGGGTTGAGCAGTTCGGATAAACCGTTGCCCATCCCTACTCCTGGGTATCCCGTGGTTCACCACCTGGAAGAACCCCAGAGTCTCCGAAGCCCTTCGGACTCCGTCGACGATCATAGATCGACGGTTGGAGTCGAATCCTAGGTCTGTGACAAGGATTGAAAGATGGGTGTCCGAAATTGGGTAGTCTCCGGCGAGTTCGTCGATGGGTCGGACGAAGATTCAGGGAATCTTTTTGATTCCGGCGTCGACGAGGCCTTTGACTCCGACTTTTGATTCGTCGAAGGTTTTTAGGTCTTGGAAGCGATCGTAGGGAGGTGAAGTTTCCGGCACCGAATTCGCTACTGTTAAGTTGGGTTCTCCGGCACCGGCCATTTGAGAACTCTTTGCTGAAAGAGACGCACACAATACGTCCTAGCTGTTTTTTTCACAATAATGTAGGGGAAACGCTGCGAGTGTTTTTGTTTCGAGGGATTATTCCATGGGATTAGATTATTACATCTGGATTAATAATTTATTGTTTAATTTAATTTTTTTGTTTTAGATTAATAATTTCTTTGGACTATTAGCCTGTTATACGAGGGATTATTGAATCCTAGAGGGAAGGATGGGGTTATTTTTATGGGATTGGTATCTCATGATACTAATGTGTGAAATGTCTATTTTACCCTTATGTTGTTTCTTAATAAACAATTGAAAAATGGTAAAATAGTCTTTTGAACATTTATAAATTATTTTTTTAGTGTTGTTAATTTAAAATTATATATTAAATAAAAAAATATAAATTATAAATTTAATTTAATTGAAAATAATAAATTAAAAATTATGGTTTTATAAATTAAAAATTTTTAGTGTTGTTAAATTATAAATTATAGATTACAAATTTAAAATTATATATTAAATAAAAACTATGAATTATAAGGGTAAAATAGTTTTTTGAACATTTATCATTATCCAATCCGTCCAACTAAAAATCCAGATATCTAATCTCATGACTAAATAAACATAGGACACAAATCCAATCCAACTAAATAGTCCGAGGACAATGTATCCTAGGACTAACAGTCCGATGGATTACAATCTCCCCTTATCCAACATGTCCAAACAAATACACCCTATGGCATATGCACCTTCTAAGAGGATCTCTAATGTTTTCTTTAAAAAATTTCATTAAATTTTATTTAAATTTGATAAAAAAAATTTGATCTCATATTGTACATTTCAACGGAATGATATGAAAGGACTACCGGAGGACAACCTTTCCAAAAAATTTGTAAAGAGGTGGTCGAATGGGGGACATTCAGCTAATTGTCCGATACTCAAGAGCTAATGACTCTCTACAATAATTTGATGATAAGTTTCAACATTCTCAATTTAATGAAAATTCTAGATGTCCTCAATTTGATAAAACAAAAGATGAAGCGTTGAAGCATTATTTTTGTTCGATTTTCATCAAATTTATTTAAATTTGATTAAACAAAAGATGAAGGATTGGAGATGATCTAACTTCAATTTTATGGGCTATAACTAAAAGAATAAATAAAATTATCATAATTAAACATAATATGAGTCATAATTAAAAAATTCATATGTCATAATTAAAATAATATCGTAACTAAAGAAGAAAATTAATCATAATTAAAAAAAAATGACATAACTAATGGTATATATGTTTCTCTCTTTTTAAAAATGTGTATATTAGAATTTCCTGTATAAGACATCATAAAAGAATTATCATAAAAAGCTTTACGAAAGTATTCCTAAATTAATTTGTAATATTTTATTATATGTTATACAATCACTCTTAAATTAATTTTATAAAAAAATTTATGATATTTATTTTATAATGCGTAACATTATTCGTTTGTTTGGATCACTCATATTGGAAGTCAACTAAATATTAAGGTCTTTATTAGAAATATAATAATAATAATAATAAGACCATTTCCAATTATTCACAAGTTTGATATAAATTATTCTAATTTTTTCATCAAATAAAAATAAAATAACATATATTGATTTTTGCTTTATATTTCAATCAAAAAAATAACATTCCAAACAGGGTCTTAAACTAGGCCAAAGGCACTGATTATATTATTTTCAAATTTTTCGTTTGAGAACCGATTAATTTAATAACTTTTTAATTTTTTAACAAAAGATATATAGAAAAATAAACATAATGATATAGTTTATAGTAATTTTTTAACTTTTTAACTAAAATATTTAATCCCAAACCAGCAGTCATATTAATTTGATAAAAGTTTCAAAAACACAATTTTCAATGTAAAATTATATTTCAAACATGACTTAAATCAAGTTGAATGAGTTTTTATTTATTTATGAAATTCATTGAAGTTGAAGGCATGAATTTAGGTCGAAACAAAACTCTGACCAGGTATTTAAAATTGAAAAAAAAAAAAAAAAAAAAAATTTGAAAACTACTGGAGTTTTTGATATTAATTTTGTAAACTACTCAAATATGATAGAAATTAAATATAAATATCAATCATAACTTTGCAGAATAAATAATCTGAAATAAATCTTAATTATAGGTTGTGCAACAAAAAAATGCATGTGAACACACAAAAATACTTTTCCCAAATTTATAAAACCATATAAAAATTATAATCAAATGTTAATAGCAGTTTTATCGCTATACAAAAACTTTCCGATCAAATGTTGATGTCAGGAAAATTATGGAAATTGGTTAAACTTGACAGTCTTTTATCAGCATTTATTAAATTAGGAAAAAATGATTAGTTTCCACTTATGTAATTACATAAATGTCAGAAATAATATAAAAATATAAATAAAAGTAAAAAATTATAAACACACTTATCCATAAATGCCAAACAACCTTGTGATTTCTCTAATACAAAATCGGTCTTACTAACAAATGTCCTAGGAATAAGAAAATGACAAAAGATATATCAATCTCCATGCCTTTATTATTAAATTTAATACACTTTTTATAAATTTTAAAATATTTTATAATTTTTTTACACTTTTTCAAGACATTTTTTCTCTATTATTATTAGCATTTGTCATACAAAAACTAGAAGAAGAAAAAAAAAATGATTGTAGCATAACTCAACCAATAACAATATTTTCTGAATTTCATTAAATGCACATATGCTGTGTTCTGCCAGTAATGGCGTAATGGAGCTACTTGTAAGGAAGCATGATCAGCGATCATGGAGGAGCAGTTCGACGGTTCAAAGTGCAGTTCGAAAGTCATCACTGACGAGTATAAATAGCAGGGTAGCCCCCAGAAAAAAGGGAGGACGGACTCAGATCATACAAATCAGTCATTTACTTCATATATTTTCTTTTCCAGTCTTTTACATTTCCAGTCTTTAAATACCTGTTCTTTAAATACCTGCACTTTAAATACTCGCACTGTACTTCGATTCATAGGAGTAGCTACAAGTAGATTCAAGTAGATTGCTGTTGTAAACCTCTCCGAGGCTGAGTTTGGACCATTATAAGTGTTCATTTTTATGAAATACTTCAATTGTTCTTCGTATTACTGTTATTTCTCTTAATTTCTCCTAAGTCAAGCCACCAGTAAAAGTCCTCTTCATTGAGGCTGAAAAAAACTAAAACACAATCGTCTGATAATTGGTTGGCAATCACAATTTCTGTAAGGACTGATTGATCCTTGCTGGCACGCCCACATTTACAAAAATACCCTTCGAAAAGCCAAAAAGCCAACAATTATAAACACACTTATCCATAAATACCAAACAACCTTGTGATTTCTCTAATACAAAATCGGTCTTACTAACAAATGTCCTAGGAATAAGAAAATGACAAAAGATATATCAATCTCCATGCCTTTATTATTAAATTTAATACACTTTTTATAAATTTTAAAATATTTTATAATTTTTTTACACTTTTTCAAGACATTTTTTCTCAATTCTTATTAGCATTTGTCATACAAAAACTAGAAAAAAAAAATTAAAACAAAAAAATTTATTGTAGCATAACTCAACCAATAACAACATTTTCTGAATTTCATTAAATGCACATATGCTGTGTCGAAGCATATCAAAATGGTGAATGGAAAGTCATATTAATGGATCGTGGAAACTTCGATTTGGAATGGAGGAAGTTATGAGTAATTTTATAGTGAATATTAACTAAATAATTCAAATATCTCAATCTCTATTCAATATTTAATTTCCTCCAATAATTCAAGAACTTTGCCATGATTGAACAGAAATGTCAATATTTTTTTTCTTTTCTTTTCTTTTTTTTTTCACTTATTTGAAAAGCAACAAAACATTATCAGTTATATATGTGGGTAATATTCATCCCTATAGCATGTTATATGCATCTGCTTAAAAGTATGAGCTTTCACACAATGCAAAACATGTGCAAAAAATCACTTGATTTGCATCCAATCCTATTAACACAGTTTTCTTGTTTCAGCATCAGCAATATTGTTGAACTATTAAGTCCTAGAAAGATTTTTAAATTGTATAATTTATATATGGATTTTGTTCATGAGTACCCAAAAAAACACTGGTTAAAAAGTTTAAAATAGCTATATACAGTATGTGCTTTGAAAAATATATAAATATTAAAAACATGAATATTGTTAATAAGTACACTAAAGAACTTTAAATAGTTGTACATTCTCTATAAAAATGTGTGTCTTACAAAATGTACGACTATTTGAAGCAATAAGATATTCATTAACAAGAACCTTAGAACATTGTCAACCAATACTTTTAAGTCATGTTTAATTGTTTGATTAAGTTGGGTTGAATTATAAGTACAGAGTGACTAAATAGATAAACCATCAAAGAGTATTTTTGTTGTAGGCAATATTACCTATAATCAATGATTAAAAAATTCAAATATGACAAGGCCTATCCAGTATTTATTTAGCTCTTGAAAAACAAAATCAAAAAACAAAAATCAGATGCATGCGACTATAAAAGTCAGATTTCTAAACTCTTTTTTTAATCAAGTACAAAATACTCCACTTTATTTGAAAAAACAAAACATGATCCTACATTGTTGGTAATATTCATCCCAGTAGGATGTTACATTCATTTTCTAAAAAGCATTGAGTCTTACATCATGAAATGTATATGCAGAAAACCACTGGACTTGCAAAATGCACAAGCCATTAGTTTGTAGTTGTTTAACTGGGAAACTTATTCCAATCATATTATCAATGTTTCCTTGTTTCAGCATCAAGTAAAACCCTATGGATTAATTAATACCTGTTCACAACAAACTAATGATTAACCAAGACCAAACCAAAGTTGAACCCAAATCTACATAGCCTACTTACACAACTTGAAATGCGATAGCGAAGAGGTTCCATCAAGCCCTTTCTGGTAATAGTGCGTGATGAATTCTTTAATCGTGGTGTCCTGGTAGATTGGAGGATTTTCTTCGGATAACAGTTCTTTGATTGGCCCATACACTCTTGATGTAACCCCTTCGCGAAAATGTGTTCTGAAAAAACTCGCAACAGATATTCTTGGACCAACATTTTTTGTGAGTACTCTGTGATTGATGCTTTTGAACTTGTCATTTGTGATGAGCTGCATAATGGAAAACATGATAAACTAAAATAAATGTGTGCTCTATGTTCAAATAAAGAATTAAAAACAATAAAATAATGCATATACTTGGGATGTGAAAATTTTCATTTTTCATACATAGGCTTCCACTATCAATGTTCATTGCTCCAGTTACTATGTCAAAGCTATCAAAAATGAGTTATTTCAATAGAAAGCATGGACATACTTGACTGCTTATGCATCCTATCCATACATGCACAAATTAAACAATTTTAAAGGCATCTATATCAGGAAAAATTGCAAATGAAGACTTGACGTCACTGGTTATTCTGTCCCCATTATACATTTTCCACCTATCATTGTTGTCACCGGCACCACCACAACCACAAGCACATCAGTTTCAAGGTTGCAATGAAAAGTTTTCTAATATTTTCCGCCAAAACAAACCTAGTGTAAGCCACACCCTAAGAGCCACAATTATAAAGAAAGTAGATTCAAGTCATCAGCAGACAAGGGATACCCTCTCTTAAAACTTTTAAAGAGACCTCATGTGTGAATATGCTATTGAAACAGAGAAAGAAAAACCAAAACAGCAAGGCAAATAAATCATCAAGTTCAGTGTGTTATATTTATAGACTTGCCTGCAATAGATCTGCAATGTTTACTACCAGAGCTCCAGGCTGAGGGGGAACATCAACCCATTGATTTTCATGAAGGATTTGGAGGCCACCCATATTGTCTTGTAGAAGTACAGTAAAGAAGCCACTGTCAGCATGGTCTCCAGTACCCAAAGTCAATTCTGGTTCTGGGCATGCAGGATAGTAATGGCCCAGAACGAAAAGCCCCTCAGCACAATCCATGTCTTTCAGGTGATCTGAGTTTAGGCCAAGGGCCTCTGAGAGCAATTCTAACAAAGTGAGCCCCAATCTCAACATGTACTTTGAGTACTCTATCATTATATCTCTGCAAATTGACCAGACAAATAAGTCACAGCAATTCTTGTTAGGTTTTTATTCTTGGCAATCCCGTTTGACAAAACTCCTTTCAGTTGTACTTGTTTTCGCATTTATATTTCAGTGAGGCTATATGTTTTAGATGCGAATCCAACCCGAATTTTGCCTTACAGAGAAGTTTGTGACGTTAATGCTTTCAAGATTGCCACTTCGCTGATTATGACGAGGATCGAGCTACCCGATCAGCTCGTGGAGGTCCAGGGGTCCAGGGGGCAGCGCCTCTTGGCGGGTCTAGGGCAGCACCCAGGCGGGGTCGAGGGGCAGCGCCCCCAAAGCAAAATGCAAAATTGCATTCGAAGTTGCATGTCCGCCCTTGCTCGCTCGAGCGAAGGAGTTCTCGCTCGAGCGAAGGCTACGTCTGGCAAAAAACCTAAGAATGATGAATGTACGCTCGAGCAAAGGTTGTTTGGCTCGAGCGAAGCCACTTATGGAAAACACGTGTTTTTGGTTCCTCACTCGAGCGAGATAGTCTTCGCTCAAGCGAGCTTTGCAGTACCAGATTTCTATAAGTACGTGTTTCTGTCAAATTTTAGGATTACTGCTTCAGATCTTCTTTTTGAATATTAAGGTTTATATCTAGGGATATTTTGCTAGTTTTCTTTGATGTTTAATTGAGTATTCAACTCATGGGTTAAGAAGAATACATCAAAGGTTCGTTGCTCATTCTATACAAAAGAGAGAGCTATTCTTCGGTGAATTCTGAAGAATTTGAGCCTGAAGCTTTGGTGGATTCTGGAGTGGCTCATCGTCAAGGCAATTTCGAGGTGAAAACGGGGCTGGAAGAGACACATAGGGGTTGGTTCAATTTGGGCATGGATTTGCTAGGTAATTGAGAGTATACCTGTGTAATTCCTTTATGTCTTTTTAGTGGATTGTTTTGTGACTTTTACGGCTTTTGCCCGTGATTTTTTATCACAATTGGAGGTGTCCAATTGTGATTTTTTCACGTAAAATCGTTGTATCGACTTGTCTTGATTGTTTGATTGGGATTGTTGTTTACTGCTTAAAATTGATACATAATCACAAATCAACATCTAGGGGGTTTCTAATTTTTTCAATTCTAACAGAGTGTACCCCAAATATTTCAGCTCATCTAGTATTATTAGGAAAAATAAAATTTTACCAACAAAAAAATAAAAAATCGATTGAAGAGGTGAGTTATTAATAAGTAATGGATGGGTATTTTTCAAATGCATGGCTTGTTTGGAAATAAGGATTAGCAAGAATAAATTCCTGGAAACACATTCAGAATAGTCACTGACAATTGGCAGTTGTGTTCGTCTTGGAAAATCTCTACAAAAATATTGAAGAAATATTTGGATAATATGTTTTACTGCAATTAAGTTTTAGTTAGTCTGTCTATGGTTGCAGAAAGAAGTCTATGTCAGAAGCAGGTTGTGCTCCTTTAGAGGTAGGTTGGTTAATTTTCTGATCTGGGGCAGATGCTTTCAGTAAGCCAGGTTATGTATGAGCAGTTGATATTGCAGAGAAAAAAAAAACACAAATTGGGCAAAAATATCTGATACAAATCAGAACTTTCTTTTTTTGTATTACGGTAATTTCCCTTTGTCCCTAAACATGTCCAAATTTGTCTCGCAAAACTACAATTTCTACTCATTTTGACATATTGTTTTTCTCCTCGAAGTATCAATGGCAAACACATAAATATTAGACTAATCAGATACCTGCACACTACAGGCAGTTCTTCAGGATCAGGAGGCTGGGGAGCCATAACACAATAAATGGTATCCCTCCAATTAGATACTGGTGCTTGATACAGATCAAAGTTGCTATTATATATAAATTTTTTGGTAACATCACGTGAATAGAATTGTTTCTTCACCTCAGTATCTTGCTCATGAAATCTCCGAACGCCATCAATCATATCATCCATTATACTTACTGGGATTCCATGATTAACCACCTGAAAGAATCCCCATTTTTCACAGGCATCTGTAACTTTGTCAATGATTTCACCGTGTTGAGCTGCGCCTTTGTTGATGCCTTCAAAGTCTATGATTGGAACACTGAACTGGGAGATAACAGAGCCGGACTTATGAATATCAGGAAGCATGCTTTTGTCATGGATGAAAATGCGTGGGATTTTTGTCACCCCAGCATCTAGGAGTCCCTTTACACCGGCTTTAGAATCATCAAAAGCCTTTAATTCACTTCTCCAATCGTATTCAGGCTCGATTTGTGTCTGAATTGCTCCCCTGTTGCTTGTGACTACCATTTTCTTCTTACCGGGAGGACAATAGTGCACTGCCAATCGAAGTTATAAATTTATTTTCCAAAGATTATAAAAAAAATTAACATAATGTTTTCTTAATTAATAACATTGACCGAAGGGACAAATAGTAATAAATAAAATGGGCTTTCGTGTCATATGAATATGCAAAGGAACATCTTCTTCAAAGTTATTTTTTTATATTGAGCAATATCTTTGACCATTAAGAAACTATTCAGTGTTTGTGAAGGTTAAGAGCAGTCCTTGTTAACCTCAAGTGGTTGGCCTAGTGGAGGCTTGAGGTGTGCTCCCTCCATGTCTCAGGTTCAAATCTCATTAGGTGCTATCAACTCTTTGGGGTCACGCTTCCAGGCTTTGCCCGAGATTTGCCTAATCTACGTGAGGGGTCACTTTGCGTAGATATTGGGATTAGTCAAGGTGCGCATAAGCTAATCTCGATACCCGGTCATAAAATAAAATAAAAAAGTGGTCCATGTTCAAGACAGTGACAAGCCAATTTTGAGGACTATGCCAGGGAAAACGGATCAATTTGATATGTAAGTCTGCTAATGGAGACATGAATTGAAAAATCTTACAAAAGCACAGCTCAAAGTTCTGCAGGTTTTAAATGCCGTTAATGGTTGTATAGGCCAAAGAATTCCTTCCATCCATGGTCATGATTTTGAAAAAGAACACGCAAATTTGTGTAAATAACATGGTTGAAAAGCAGCTTCATAGCCCATTAATGGGTATAAAAAACAACGCCCCATTATTGGGTATAAACCAAAAAATAAATAAAAACAGGTTGGGTGATGAAATCTCCATCCACAGCCAACCAACCACGGTTTCAAAATCAACGGAACACGTCAATCTGTTTTGGGGGCATTTTTTCCTTTTTTTGTTTTTGTTTTTGTTTTTGTTTTTGTTTTTGTTTTTTCTGGTTAGATTACCCACTTAAACTTGGCCATATGGAGCTGGAAGTTACGATGATGGTTCGAGTCAAAAGATAACTTCTATATTTGAATACAAGGTTGATATTTGGTATCACCATCCAATCATTTTTTGTCTTTTACCCTGTATATATATGGCACCTGAAAATTAGGATTTATCTTCAATCATAGTGATATCACTGTTAAAAATTATGATTAGCATAGTCAGTTTGTATTTGAATCCAAGTGCCTAGTCTAATTTTGAATTAACCAATGTTTTAGCTGTTTTTGAATTTTGATCAAGTATAAAGATTCAGAATATAAAATATATATATATATATATATATACTTTGATTGGTTCAATAAGAAATTGAGGGTTTTCAAGTAATAAAATCTTGGATTAAAACCAGATTTATGCCTGTAATGTACCATCCATCTCATATAACATGTGATGTATATGCATAATTGGGCTCTTTGCTCAGAGTTAGCAAATACTTGAAAGTGACAAACAAAACAAGTATGAAAATCAATTTTTTTACACAACAACACCAAAAAAACACTTTTTCTTTTTCTTTTTTTTTTTTCTATTTGAACAAACCTTATTCAGTAGAAGAATTTACCTAGGGTTCGAACTAGGAGTGCTCCACAAACGAGATGGAGATGGAGATGGAGATGGAGATGGAGATGGAGATGGAGACGTTGGATCGATCGATCGAGCTCTCGAAGAGAGAAGAGATGGAGTGGAGCTGCTACCACCACCACCGCATGTTTTAAGAACAGCCTGGCCTGATCTCCATTTGTGGCACCATACGTTTCACTGACAAAGACGCCAAGATCTAGGATAAGTTCTAGGATAAGTGGTTGACAAAGAACCCAACAGTTGCGTGCATGTATCAATTACTATTAACTAGCGGTTGGGCATGTGTGTGCAAATTAAATACATAGGAATAAAAGAAAATAATAATGAAATTAATATTATAATGTGTACTTAGTTTAAGTGGTATGAATTCTCATACTTAAACTCATGGTCATGGGTTCAAGCCTTGCCCTGTGTGTGCAATTTAAATAAGTAGGAATAAAAAAAATAATAATGAAATTAATAATATAATGTGTACTTAGCTTAAGTGGTATAAGTCCTCATACTTAAACCCATGGTCATGGGTTCAAGCCCTATCTCTTTGTTTAACTTTTTTTTTAAAAATAAAAAATACTGCCACATGGCATGAGAAGAGTAAAGCTTCAAGACACCATAAGAATTTGTGTTCACTTTATAATAGTATAGATAGATAGATAGATAGATATTATGGGTAAATTACATTTATTTCATTTCCGGTTTCTGACAAATATAAGAATTTCTAGTTTGAATAATTATGGTAATTTTTTTTATTTTATTTGATAATATCAAAAAAAATTTAAAATTTGACCGCCGTTTATACACTTAACCGACTCTGTTGATATCATCAAATATAAACATTAAAATACTTATAATGCCTTCAAGTGCCTATAATGTAAACACCAAAGTGCCCAATGTAAACACTAAATTTTATTTTTTTATTTTAAATACATAATTTTTATTTAAATATTTTATTTTATTTTGTAAATATTTTAATATTTTAATTTTAATATTTTAAACTCAAAATACAATTTCACACTCAAATCATAACCAAATACATAACACAAATTCAATTCAAAAAATATTTTCAAACCTCATAACCAAACACATAACTCGAAACTCCACACTATTTTCAAAACTCTACACTCAAATCATAACAAAAAAATTAAAATATTTAAAAATATATTTATAAAATAAAATATTTAAAATAAAAAATAAAATTTTTAAAATTTGTTAATATTTAAAAATATATATTTAACATAAGTTTGTATTTTTTTTAAGTTTGTGTTTGGTTATGAGTTTTGAAAATAATTTTTGAATTGACCAACACAATCATAAAACTCAATTCAAAATTATTTTCAAACATCATAACAAAACACATAACTCGAACTCCACATTATTTTCAAAACTTTACACTCAAATCATAACAAAACACATAAATTTTTTTTAAAATATTTAAAAATATATTTACAAAATAAAATAAAATATTTAAAATAAAATAAAAAAATTTAAAATTAATATTTAAAAAATATATTTAACATAAGTTTGTATTTTTTTTAAGTTTGTGTTTGGTTATGAGTTTTGAAAATAATTTTTGAATTGACCAACACAATCATAAAACTCAATTCAAAATTATTTTCAAACATCATAACAAAACACATAACTCGAACTCCACATTATTTTCAAAACTCTACACTCAAATCATAACAAAACACATAATTTTTTTTAAAATATTTAAAAATATATTTACAAAATAAAATAAAATATTTAAAATAAAATAAAAAAAATTATTTTTTATTTTAAATGTACAATTTTTATTATAAATATTTTTAAATTATTTAATTTTATGGTTGTGTTGGTCAAAGCAAATGGTTTTTTGGTCTTTTATTTTATGGCAATGATGTTAGTCTTGAAGAAAGGGTTTTTCGTCTTTTTGTAGGCAAAAGCAAGAGTAATATGGTCATTTTATATACGGTACTAACGTCGTTTGTATAAAATAGACAGAATGGGGGGAATCTTGACATTTTCAGAGAAAATAAGGGAGGTTACTGTAATTATTCAAACCACAGGGGAGGTCGCAGTATTTGTCAGAAATCTCAAGGGAGGTAAATGTAATTTATCCTAATATTATTTATGATATTATTATTAACCTTACTCCTTATATAAATTATAAATATTAAAAAAAAATTGAAATCACGTCATATTACTAATTGATACATTAATTAATATTTTAATTGATACATATGGTATTATCTAACAATATTGTGTTTGATAAAAAAAAAATTATATATTTTTGTTAAGTGATAAATTGTAATTGGTAGAATATATATGACGACCAACTAATAATTTTTCGAAGATCTAGTGGAATTTTATAGACATTGAACAGATTGACATTGAATGGATTTTCTAATCAATTCAACCATTAACAATATCCTTTTTCTAATCAATCCAAATGCTAAAATTTGTCATTTTTTATTTCATTTTGTTAACTAACCAATTATGTCATTAACCATACTAGATAATTTAAAATTCGTTTTGTAATGACTTTTTTAGTTGTTTTTTTAATTTTTTTTGACTTTTTAAACCTAAAATTATTTTGATTGTTTGGTTTTCTTATTTGACTTTTTTGGTTTTATGCCTTGTGAATGACAAACCTTTTTGTTGATTTTTTTATTTTTTAACTTTTTAATTTTTTTGACTTTTTTTTATTCATATGTGATTATTTTGCCCAATGAAAAAACCAAACCGGGGCTTAATAATTTTAAATTGAAATAGAAAAAGTAACAATAGTTTAAGAAATAAATATAAAATTAATCTTCTTTCTTTTTTTTACTCTTCAAGCGTGAATCAAAGTGTCCAATCTAAAATTGCAAAATTGAAAAAGACCCCAACATCAATTAAACTTCATGAAATTGCACAAGAAAAATAACACATAATGACAAAAAAAAAATAAATAAATAAATTATACTTCATTCTTTTTATGTTGGGTCACTTTTTCACTTTGACTTTTAAATTATATATTTTCTCACTTTAATCTTTTATGTTTCAATTTTTTTTTTCTATTTACTCTTAAAATTAATTTCTGTTAATGATTAGACAAAAAAATTACAAATTAACAATCACATAATATAAAAATATTTTATTATATATAACTTACATCTCTAATATAAACTTAAACTCTAATATAATAATATACTTTTTATATTATGTGGCAGTTATTATAATACTGATGCCATTTGGTAACATATACATTTTCAGTTTTCTGTTTATGTTTACAAAAATTTAAAAAAACTTAAATAAAAACTTGTTTGGTAAAATTTTTAATTTATAAATCAGTGATCTCAGTTTATAAATTTGGCCAAAAAATAAAAACACAAAAAATGTGTTTCCGTTTTGAATTTTCAGTTTTTTTTTTTTTTACCACCCAACACTAGCCACCACCCGCCACCATTTTCCACCACCGTCTTCCGCCATTACCATCACCCCCTCACATCACCAGCCAACCTTACCACCACCACACACCACTCGTCACCACAGCCACCCACCAGCCACCCACCCACCTGCACCACTCGCTACTACCACGACCACCACCCACCTACCATTTACTCACCACCACCCGCCACCCGCCAACTACATCCATGCCCGCTAGTACCACCTGCCACTACTACTCGCCACCTACACTGCCACCACCAATCCACCACCTGCCACCACCAGCCACCACCACCACCAGCCATCTCCACCCACCCGCACCCCACCCCACACCACCACTCACACACTGCCACCACCACACCAACTCGCTCACCACCTCACCCGCCATCGTACGCACCAACCCACCACCCTCACACCCGCATCGCCACCCACCTGCACCACTACCCACCACTCGCCACCATCTACCACCGCCAACCCTAATCAGCCACCACCACCCCCATGCCAGACCCACTGTCACCATTCCCACACACACCGCCACCAACACACCGCACCAACCACCTACCCAACCATCTCAACCACCCACCTGTCACCAAACACACCCACACCCTCCACCTAAACCATACACTCACTAATCGCTACCCGCCCACCAGCCCACACTCACCGACCACTCACACCACCAACTCACCTACCGACACCCACGCTACCAACCCAAACACGTCCACCACATCACCCTACCACAGCACCAGCCACGCCACTCACCGCCACTCACAGCTACCCACCACCCATCGTCACCACTTTCCACCACCATCTTCCGCCGTCACTTGCCACCACTTGTCATTTCTCACTCTTTTTTATATTTTTAAATTTTTTTAAACATTTTGTTAATTACCAAATGCGTTTGTAGTTTATGTTTTTCTAAAAATAAACAAAAACCAGTTTATAAAGTTTTTGTAAATATAAACTGAAAACGTAAACGTTACCAAACACATTATGTCTAATTTTCAACAAAAATTAACTTTAGGAGTAAAATAAAAAAAACCTTGAAAACATAAAGGGTTAAAGTAAGGAAAAAAAAAAAAAAAACTTTAAGGACCAAAGTAGAAAAGTGATCAAATATAAAGAGGATAAAGTATAATTTACCCCAAAAAAAATAATACATCTGCACAGTATAAAGAAAGAATGAACAAAGAACATAACCTCAACTAACAACACATGAATAAGAATCCATCCGAAAGTCTGAAATCCTTATATTCAAGATTAAATTTTAAAATTTGATGCAAATACAGTCCGATCTTCAAAAACTTTTCGGACAAATACAAGCTTAACATACATAAGCAATATTATTGATTTTCAAATTGTTCACATGATACATGAGACACCAATAATCATCACAAGGATCTCACAACTTGAAATGTGCAAGTGGAGGAACTCCGTCAAGCCCTTTGGCATAGAAGTGTTTCATGTAGTTTTTCAAAGTGGTTTCTCTGTATATTGGAGGGTTTTCCTCTGATAACAACTCTTTGATTGGTTCATAAAGTCTTGAAGTAGTCTTTGTATCACCTCTTGTTCTGAAAAAAGATGCCACTAAAACTCTTGGCCCAACATGCTTAGCCAACACTTTGTGTTTGACACTTTTAAACTTGTCGTTGGAGATGAGTTGCCCAAATATTGACATTGAAGCAAATAAGACAGGTTATTAGTTCCAATTCCATTTCTGTCCAAACCAAAACCCATTGTTCAGAAACAGTAATATGATTCTTAACATGGTTGGTGTTTGGTTAAGATAGGCATTTGTGAGGAGTTTGATAAGCTCAATATGCTAATCCAAACTCTCATAAA